TTTCGCCAGTGAGGAAACTGAGGCCAGGAGTGCAAAAGTGACCTTCAGAGGCATGGAAGTTGTGCATGGCTGAGTGGAGGGGAAAACTCCCGTTTTCTGATTTCTTTCAGTCCAGTGCACACACCCTGCACTCTGTCGCAGGGCCTGCCCGGCAAGTGTGGGACCGAGAGCAGGAGAAAGGAACAGAGACAAAGAGAAACAGAGACACAGGGGAGAAAAATAGAGAGGGAACACAGACCCGTACACACAGAGAGTCAGAAAAGACATGGAGAGTGAAAGAATGACGAGAGACAGTCATATAGATTGATCAAGAGAGGGAAAGATGGAGAGAGGTTCAGACAGAGGACGAAAGGCTGGCAGACATAGACGCAGACAGAAAAGGAAGAGAGACCGAGAGATGAACACAGAAAGGTGGGAATGGACACAGCATGACCGTAATGTGAGCCAGACAGAGACAGACCTAGAGAGACAGAGAGGACATGGGGAGAGCAAGAGGCAGAGTGAAATGAGGGAGGCAGAATGGGAGGGAGGCAGATCGTATGGGCTCTGCAGATTTGTGACCATTGGAAGAAAATCTCGCTTCCAGAATGTTCTAGGGCCCAGAGCAGGTGGTGGGGAGAGAAAGAGAGTTCAATGTTTAGACTATTTGATACAGGCAGATTGGGAGAGGGTGGCTGGGGCAAAGTGGGAACCTCTCTCCCTTGGGGTTAGGCTGGTCAGTGACCACCCAGAATCCCAGCAGCACACCCACTGGCCTCACACAGAACCTGGGCCACCCGCCCAGGATGGCTGTGAGCCCGCCTACCGCCTGGCTCCAGTCTGATTACAGCCAAAGTGCTAAAAGGCTCCAGACCCCATTGCCCCGCCCCCATGGTTCCGCCTCCCCAAGCCTCCCCAAGCCTCCCCAAGCCTCCCCAAGCCTCCCCTTTTCGTTCCCTTCTCCCTTAGTTCCCTGTTTCCCTTTCTCCCAGGCCCCTTGGGGGAAGAATCTACTCTCCTATTTGGCCACTGGCTGGGAGGAAGAGGGTCCTTGTCACTGGCTCTGCCCCACCGAGCCCCCTTCCCTGGTTTGGGCTGGATCCTTCTTCCCTCCAAAGCCCTCTTGGCCTGGCCTCTTTGAGACACGTTCCATGCCTCGCCTGGGAGCTCATAAATACCAAGGAGAGGCCAGTCAGGCTATGTACAAAGTGTAGATTCCCCACTCCACCCCCCTTAAAAGCCCCTGGGTTCTTCCCAAGCTCTCTCCTCTTCCCTAGACACCTGCATGGGGTGGCTGGGGAGGGAGAGATGGGGTGGGGGCACGAGGGGCCTGTGTGAACCTGGCCCCATTTCAAATAAGACTTGCCTCCGTCTGCAAAGAAACCTCAGGAAAGGCGTCTCAGGGCCCCTTGTGCAAGCAGCAGGCTCAGGAATTCCTTGACTCCCATCCAAACCTCCCCCCAGCCCCTTCTCAGCCTTTCTCTCTGCTCATTACCGTCCACACCACCTCCCACCCACCAGGAAAGACAGAAGGTCATCACCAAAGAGGCCCAGGGAAGGGGGGGTGGCCCCCTCAGGGGGTCAACCCGGGTAGAGTAAGAGCTGTTTACCCACACCACCCAAGCTCCCCTTAGCTCATCTCCACTCCCATCTAAGGGCTAGTAAAAACTCAAAATCATTCAGCCCCACACAGCTGTGAAGAGAGTGAAAGTAGTCCCCATGGGGGAGCAGAGTATGAGGTTAGATACCCAGGGTGAGGGGGGCACCCTTCTTTGGGCAGCCACTTTTGAGACGGCGGGAGGCTATGGTGCCACCTTGAGGAAGAAGGGAGACTTGGCTCTGCTGGCTGGGGGGGAAGGTGCCCTGCTGGAGGCCCCAGGGAATCTAGTGGCCTCTGGGGTGAGGGGGTGGGGGGCTGGAATTCTTCCTCAGGTCTCTGCTGACGCTGCGCACTCAATCTGCGATATACAGCCCTGAACAGCAGAGTCTAGTGTGCCACCACTCGGGGGACTTTATTGTATTTGCCTGAAAACACCTGGGGAGTAAGACCCTTTCTCCCCTTCTGTGTCATTGAGGATGCTCTGGCCAGTGCGGGGCATACAGCAGGTGCTCAATAAGTGCCAACCTGACTCCATGCAGGGCCCCCTAGACCAGAACTTGACTCCCAAATCAGTGAACCGCCCCCCCCGCCGCCCCACCATTAGGGTGCAGGGGTAGGTGGTCGGAGGGAGGGAGGGGCAGGTCAGGCCCTAGCCTAGTCCCTGGCCTTGACCCTCTGGCTGGAAGCCCCACACCAGGACCTCGCGTGAGGAGCTGAGCTCTCCAGTAGCGTCTAGGACCTTGAGACTGGAAGTTTATTTTGAGATCTGAAGTCCAAAGTGGCAGATCCCAGAAAACCTCTTCTCTGGCTCCGTATTTGTTCTCTAGTTAAGTGGTTGAGTGCAGTTCTTGCAGTCAGCTGGCTCCTGCAGCCTGAGGTTCCTCCTCCTGGGGAACTGGGGGCTCAGAGGGGAGGGGAAGAAGAAGAGGAAGGAGCAGAGCCCCATCTCGGGTTGTCCACTCTAGAGCAGAGGTAGCCTATAAGCACTGGGGAGAAGTCTTGTCCCCGCACCCACTGCCCTTGCTCCTGTAGCTGCTGATGTTTCTGGGGGCCCCCTTCACTCAGCAACATGCTTTAATAGTTGAGCATCTATGTTGTGCCAAGACACAGTCCCACTTGACTGTGAGGACAGCTGAAGCCAAAGAAGGGGCCTCAGAAGTGAGTTTGGGGCCCATGTGGGTGAGTCCACGCACGGTTAGGGCTGATGTGATCATCTCCAGCCCACTCCACAACCTTGGGCCCATATGTAGAAATAAACCCAGGGCCAGAGTCCCACCCAGGCCTAAACACACAGGGGAGTCTGGGAGAGGCTGCCAGAGCTTGCAGACCTTGTAGACCGCTGCCCAGCATCAGGGTGGGGCTGGGCTGGGGGGAGGTGAAACAGTGGTTCAAGGAAAGGGTCCCGGCCAGGAATGAGCCTGGGCCCACTCCTCTCTCACCTGCCCCTCTCAGGGACGCTCAGCAGAGAGTCTGACACGAGGGCCAACTGGAGCCTCCCAGACGGAGAGAAAGGAGAGAAGGGGAGGGAAGGGTCAGCTGGTTGGCAGGAAGGGATGTGTGTGGCTGCATGCTGGCCCTGCTTGGTCTTTGTATTCAACCCTCTCCCACTCCTATGCAACTCCAGCCCAGCCCCTACTTCCCACTCCTATCCCCCACCCTACAGGACGTTGACCACCCTGGCTACCTTGCTGAACTCCTCTCCTCCCCAGCTCCTTGGCTCCAGCTGGCTGGCTACAGGCTAACTTTTGCACACCAGCCCACACCCACCGTGGGGTCTCTGTGTTGGCTGTTCCCTTTGCTGGGGATGCTCTTCACCAAGAATCTGCCTGGCTTATTCCCTGGCCTCAAGTCCTCGCTTGAATGTCGCTTTAATGAGCCTACCTTGATCATCCTAGTTACAACTCTATTTTCCCCACTGTACTTACCCTTTCTGACATACTCTATGTTACTTAGGATGTTTACTGTGTATTGTCCATCTTCCCTCAATAGAAGGTAAACTCCATGAGGGTAGAAATTATTTGTTTTGCTTTGTTCGCTGATGTGTCCTTGGTGCCTAGCACAGTCTGGAACGTGGAAGGCAGTAAATAAATATTTGTTTAATTAATGAATACACTCTGCCCCCTGCCACAGAAAGTGAGGTTAAAGGAGTGAGAGGCGGGGGGTGGGGGGTGGGTAAAGATCCTTCCGAGCCTTTCTCCCCCACGTCTGCCCCTGGATGTCTGCAGCATCTCTGAGGCCAGCTGCGCCCTGTCCACTCACACTCTGGCGTCTTTAACATCCCCCTTCGAACCACCGCCTGCCCCCAACCAAGAACTGACAGGGAGTTTGGTGTTGAGGAGGGTGGGCAGTTTCCAGCGCATTGTTTACACCAAGGCTTTATAGTTTAGATAAATCACGGGGAGAGGCACCAAAGACACCTGGGAATGAGGGGCTAGGCAGAAGAAACTGAGGCTGGAGAAGAGGTCAGGGCCATTCCCCAGGCAAACTCTCCAAGCTGTAAGGCCAGGGCTTTAAAAAACTTTTTGCATCTCGGTGAGGGCCACTCTGACCCCAAAGGTTCTATGTGCCTGCCTGGTGAGTGCGGGGAGAGAAGAGGGGTGTCACTTTCAGCAGTCGGCACCTCCCCACCTCTTCCTGATTTACCACGCCCCGGGGCGCTGTGCTGGGGCTGGGTGGCGGAGGGGGTGAGGGGGCGGTGGGGAGGAGGAAGGATGGAAAGACGAAGGGGAGAAATGGCTCCGGGGCTTCCACTCTCTCAGCAGGACCCCCCACCCTGGCCTCTGGTTCGGGAAAGCCGCCCAGCTGTTTCTGATTCTTTCATACTTGCAGCCCCGCCCGAGGGGGTGGGGGACCGAGGCACCGGGGGAGCCGGGAGAGACTTAGTCCTGCTGAGGCCGGGCGGTAAAGGGCGGGGAGTCCCTGTCCGGTCCGCAGGTGTGCCCCCTCCGCTTCCGCCTTCGATTCCCGGTCCACAGGCCAGAGGGAAGCATCGGGGCCGAGCAGGCGGGTGGGAGCCATGTCTAAACATTGTTTAGGGGCAGGGATTGCCGCGGGCAGTGGGTCGGAGGAACGAGGAGCAGCAAGCCCTAGATGAGATAAGCCCCTACCTGAAGCCGGCTGCCTAAGGCGCCCCAGTTTGGCAGCGCTGAAAGGGAGTTAAGATCCTCCCGCAATTCCCGGTGGCAGAGGTTCTACCCATTTCACAGAAGCGCAAGAACCGAGAGAGGACCGAGGAAATGAGTGCATCCTTCGTGGCTCAGCTCCAGTGTCACTGGAGGTTAGAGGACAGGGGGAAGTGTCTGCAGCCCCCCCTCATTCTGCGCTCCAGGCCATCACCCACGGAAGTTGAGGTTGCCGCATGAAGGGCGCTAGGACCCGGTGGCGCGGCGTCGGCCGGGACTGGGCGCTGCGGGCTCCGAAGGGCGCCCCCGCGCCCCGTAGCGTCCCGCCGGAGCAGGTGGGGGCGCAGCGCGATGGTGCGCGGAGCGCCGAGGGGCGGAGGCGGCCGCCACACCTCGGGCGCTGCGGAGCGCCCGGGGCTGGCGCGGGCGGAGCCGCCCAGAGGGCCGCGCGTGTCCCCGGCTTCGGCCCCGCCCCGCGCCGTCCAATGAGAGCCCGCGGCCGAGGGGCTGTCCGCACACTCTGCCCGCAGCCCCACTCCGCGCCGCCGACCCCCTGACACCGCGCCCAGCGCCGGGGCAGCGCGTCCCGGACCCCGAGCTTGGCGCGCCCCCGTCGGCTTCCGGACCCCGTTCCTTGCCCCCCTCTCCGGGACCCTGCGCCCCGGCTCCTGGACTCCAGGTGCCTCTGGGTCCCCGGCCAGCGGCGAGCCCTATGGCCCCCCAGGGGGGTGAGGTGGGAGCAGCCTGAGTACCCCGAGCCGGTGCCCCGTCCACGCCCCTCCGGGCCGCGCGGCGGGAGTCATCGGGGAGCTATGCTGAAGCCGGGTAGTGCGGAGGAAGCCGCGCAGCTCCCCCCTCGGCGCACCCGCGCCCCTGTCCCCGCGCTCGCGCCAGGACCCGCGGCCCCCGACGGCTCTCGGGCTTCGGCCCGCCTCGGTCTTGCCTGCCCGCTGCTGCTGCTGCTGCTGACGCTGCCGGCCCGCGTAGACACATCCTGGTGGTGAGCGCGGCTCTCGGGGTGGGGAGGGTGAGGCGCTGGGTCAGAGGCCGGCCGGAGGCGCCCAGAGGCAATACGCAGCTCCTGGCATCAGCTGCTCAGGAGACCAGGCTTTCGCTTCGACGGAGTAGGAGACGATCCGAGCAGGACTGTCACCGAAGTCGAGGAGTGTGTGGGGGGAGGTGGGTGGATAGGTGTGCCGCTCGCCCAGCGAGGTGGGCCCTGGGCATTCGGAGCAAGGACGCCCGGTGGTCGAGGCTTCCCAGACTCTCGTGTGCTGGGCCCGCTCCAGTTCAGCTCAGTCCTCTTAGGGGCAAAAGCTACTTTCCAGGTTTCTCGCAGGGTGGATTCAAGGAACCAGTCGCCCATCTGGGGGGCCTTGGGTGGCCGTCCAAAGGACCGTCTGATCGCTTACGGTCGCCTCCCTGAGAAGTGGAGAAAAGCGCAGCTAGCAAGGGCGCACGGGGCTCTCGCTAGTCCACCCCACCCGGGGAACGCAGTAAGACTTCGGGGAGGCTGCAGCACGCAGCGCAAGGTTCAGAAATGGCATCAAGGCAAAAATACTCCATTAACTCCCACAATTAAAACAAACAAAACACTTGGGTTTGCATAATTTTGGCGTTTGTCTTCAGCGGCAGCTTTGAGGAGGTTACTTCGAACCTTGATATCCCTCTCTTCTTCTTCTTCCCCTAGATGACCACCCTCTCTCTTCCATCTCTCTCCCCTCCAGGAACTAGAGGCTTCTGGAGTCCCACAGTATTAAGAGACCCTCCCCTCAGATTTCTTGCAGGCCTGAGACTCCAGACACTTCACAAGAGGGCAGATGAGGCAAAAGGCATTAAACACCCACTGGATGTCTGTTCTTTTCCGAATACTCCTGCCGCGCGCCACCCCCCCACCCCCAGCCCTAGATGGCATTCATCTTTTTCTCTCAGGAGAAAGAGCTGCTCTTCCTCCTCCCTTACCTTCTGGGGGGGGGGCGTTGGGGGGGGTAGTTGGACTGAGAAAAGACAGTCTTCTCATCTTTCCTCTTCACTGACCCCCCCCCAATCAAACTGGCCTCAGACTGGGCTCTTGCCCCTCCCTACCCATGCAGTGCCCCCTTCCTTTCCTTACTCTGCCCCTCCCCCCACCCTCCCCACCACAAAGAGGGGTCTCTCCTCCCCTTGCACCCTGTGGCTTTTCTCCTCTAGACTTGGAATCTTGGCTAGAAGGGTGAGGGGTGGCTGGGTGAGGGGCCAGCAAGCTTGGGCTGCAGATTCCTATCATTTCAAGATGCGTTGCTCTCCATCCCCACCCCCCACCCCCCATTTTCCTGTTTCAGAAAAATCTCTCTTTTGGATCTTTTTAATCTCTGCAGTGTTGGGGAAGGCAAGGGAGGGGGTTCTGGATGGGGGAGAAGGGAGGCCCGTATCTTACATCTGGCTTGAAACATTCTTTTAGGAAGGGAAAGAGAAGAAGGGACAAGGAGAAAAGCCTTTCCAACAGAGCCACCCTTTACCGTCAGGGGCTCAGTTTGGCTGGGGATTTGTGTGTTCAGTGGCCCGATGGAGAGAGGATGAAGTGACCACTGCCCATCTTTATCCATCCCGGATGACAGTTTGCCTTTAGGGACTCTTGATTGCTTCTTACCAGTTTGGGAGGTAGTTTGGGGACCACTTGGTGTTTAGGTGAGGAAGCGTCACTCTGCTAATTTCAGCATCCTGGTAGTGCTTCCTAAAGACCCAACTAGCGTGCTTCTCGGTCCCCAAATGCTACTTGGCTACTCCCTCGCCTTTCCTTTCTCCCTTCCACTACTCTCACCCCACGTGGTTCACATTAAATATTTTGGAAAAACTCTGGGTAGAAGAGCTAGAGGGGGGCAAGCCAGTGATACAGAGGGATTCAGCAGTCCCAGTGAAAGCAAGGAAGGCAGCAACGGATCCAGGACAGGGAGTGAGTGCAGAGATCATTTCAATCTCCTTGTGTCACACCTGTCACAGCTGTAGGCCCCAGATGACTGCCTCAGTGGTCATCACTTCTGAGATAAAGTGGAAAGCTGCTTTCTAAAGGCAGGTCAGGCCCCCAAGGTGATTATCTCTCTTTCCTTTAGGAAAAAAACCCCAGCAAGATTGATATTCTGTCCAAACCCTGGAAGAGATGCCTGTTGACTCTGTGTGTCCATGTTCCAATCCGGAGCAGAAGGTCATCACTATTGCCAGCTAACAGTCTGATCTTCCCCACGGCCCTTCCCTTACTCTCCAGTCACTCCTTCCCTCTCCCCACCTCTCACTGGAGGAGGAAACAGATGGTCTCTTCTTATTCTGTGATAAACAACAAGAAATGGGCTCCTCGCCTGTGCTTCCCTGTTCCATTTTGTATTCTGCAGGGAGCTGGATGTAGGGAATCCCAAGAGCAGGACAGTGTTCAAGGATTCACGAAGGGAGAGGAACAGAGTGGTATCATAATACTAGCATTATTGTTACCAACAACGACTGCCATTTCATGAGCCTTTACTAAGCTCTGGACACTACAGCTAAGTACCTTATGAGCATCAGCTTCTTCAATCCCCAGAGTAATCCAGGGAGGTAGATACTATTATTATCCCCATTTCACACATGAAGACAATGAGGGCTAGGAGGTGAGTGGTAAGAGACTTGCCCAAGTGCACACCAGTTTTGGAGCTAGATTGGTCTATTCCTGGTTAAGCACTGTATGTCTCTCTTGCTCTTGGGATGAAAATGAGCTTGGACTTTGGAATCAGATGTCCTTGGTTCACCTGGTTGTCCTCTGACTAGCCCTGATGGACAGAGCTGGGTGTTATCACTTACAGTCCCTGAACCTCAGTTTCTTCATCTGTAAAATGGAGATCTCTCTCTGTCTCGTAGGATTTTTGTTAAGGAAAACGTTTTATCAACTGTAAAGCACCATATAAATGTTGTGGTATAGAGAGATCCAGGGAGGGTAATAGTTTTATCCCCGCATTCAAAGCCCTGTGTGGGCTGGGCTGAATTGTGTACACTAGGGACTGTAAGAGGGGAAATGAAAAGAGGATCCCTGGCCTCATTAAAAAGACACAAATATAAAACATCTGCAAATAGGCTGGCAATGTCAACAGGAGTGAGGCTGTAATTAAAGTGAAGTTTATGGCCGGCTAGGGGGAAAAGAGAGTTGGCGGTAAATCAGAGCGGTTAGGTGTTTATTCAACAAACAGTTATTAAGTATCTACTATGTGCCAGACACTGTTCTAGGTTCTGGGGATAGCAAAGTGAACAAAACAGACAAAAATCCCTGCCTTCGTGGAACAGGGTGTCTGAATCACCTGGGGATGTTGGTAAAAAGGCAGATTCTGATTCAGTAGGCCAGGGGTGGGGCCCAAGGCTCTGCATTTCTAACAGATCCCCAGATGATGCCGATACTGCTGTTCTTTATCGGGGCCACACTTTGAGAAGCAAGGGGCTAGAGTAGGATATGAGTCACTCTGTCAAAGGAAGGGATGTGAATTGGTCAAAAGCAGGTATAGGGAGCATTCTGGGGCAGGAAGCCGGGAAGGAAGTGAAAACTTCTGAAAGGGAAAACAGAGCTGGAGTCAGGGGCATTTCGCCCCCTCTTACCAGCCAATGAGCTGGGGGGTGCCTTAAACATCTTTGTGCCCTAACAGCTGAGCTTCATGCTTGGCACACGGTAGGCATTCTGCAGGCATGTGTTGAATTGAGAGGGGGCTCAGGCTCAGTTTTATTGGAGGCCCCCACACCAACTACAAGGGCCTGACCACTGGCCCGCAGGCAAGCACCGTGCTCTGCAGAATCTTAGTGGGGTACTTAGTGCAGCTACTTAGAGGGGTATGGGTGGTTGTGGAGAAACGTAATTATCTTCCTGTCTTAGATACTGATGTTCCCACGCTCAGTGAGGATGTAACAAGAAGGACCAATGTGGGCTGCAGCAGAATGGATTTAAGTCAGACCACAGGAAGGACTTTTTGCCAGAGTTTGGCCTGCCCCACTCCAGACTGTCTCATGAGGGCTGGATTACTGGTCTCCCATTCCCATCCAACCCCCCTCTTTCCAAGCCCCAGTAAAAAAAAAAAACAAACACCCATTGCTTAGAGCAGTACTTGGGTTGAACTGGGGAAGCAGAACGGTGGTGAGACAGGGACGAACTCCAATTCCAACGGTCTTGATTCTCCAAACAAAGCACCGCGGCAGTGGGTGTAACTCCAGGCTGTGCGTCAGGCGGCCTTTTCCGGCCTGGCCCAGCCCGGGGTGTTTATTTTGTTTGTTCCTGGAAGCTATTGCCCTGATGGACAGTGCTGCTGGGGACGCTGATTCCATGGGATTTGTCAGTGGTGGGCCAGCCCTCTCCCTGTTCCCTGGGGACAGATGGGCCCCATCAGCCCTGCTCAGCTCCAGAAGAGGCAAGCATCAGCCCTCCTTGTGTTTGTTTGAGTTGGTGTCACCAGCGGTGACCTAATTTGTGGGTGAGGGCCGGGTGCGTGAATGTGGGTGGGGGGGAGGAGGGGAGGGGGACATAGAGCCCAGGGCGGTCCAGCTTTTCCCTTCTCCACACTGGCTGCCTTCTGTTCTCCTCACCCACTTCTAGGCTCATTTTTGGGATCTTTCCCAAACCACAGGCTCGCTCATTCACAGACCAAACCAAATCTTTTCAGCCTGTAGCAGCAACTGCCCTCCTTGACCCCCACCTGTTCAGAGAAGGGGACAAATGTATCCCTTTGATGTGTTAGGAGAGCAGAGAATCCCCAGCAAGCCAAGGAAGGTGCTAGGTGTTGGGAGAGACAGCCAGGCAGTGAGAAGTGGATGAATGGGTCAGATCTCTTTTGGTGGCCTTGTGGAGAGAAAAGGTCATGATGCAGTCCTGTCTTCTCCGAAACGTTCTTCCCAAGGCTTGCGGTGGAGTCCAGGGCTAAGAGTGTTTGAGTGAAGAGAAAATATTGCCTTGAGAAATTTGGGAGTGACTCTAGCAACCCAGCTAACTTTTAGTAGCCCACCCCAATTGACCTCCTTACAATTGCTTGAATTAGGTGGACTGGGGACTGGAATATGGGGAGGGTCACCACTGTTGCTTTATCTTCGCTTCGGCCTCCCACTGCTAACAGCCCTCTGCCCGTGCAGGTTCACCCAGGACATCATCCCTTATAGGTTGGGGAGGATGATTTCAAAGACTCATTATTTAAGAAAGGCCGTGGGACCTAGAAATAAAGGGAACAGGGAGGAAATCTGTGGGGGGGGGGTCTTCCTCCCCAGACCTCAGGATTGGGGGTGAGGAGTTTTAGCTACACGGATCTGACTAGAGCTGTAAGCATTCCTCACAGTTGCCCACTATGTCTGTTCCCACTGGCCCCTCCCTGTCTCCATCCTTCTCCCCCAGACCATGTCTTCATGGACCAGCCGTGCAGGACGTGCCACTCACATGTGGGTGGGTGTAAGAGTGTTGTCTCAGACTCTTGTTTTGTTGGTTTATTTTTCTCTGAGGCTCTTAATGTTTATTAAATAAACAGGCAATGGGTTTGTGTGACATGCCCACGGCTTCTATGTATGTGACACATGCCTGGCCCATGTTCTGCAAGTGTGTGTCACTTTGGCCTCTGCCTGGGGAGCGGGTGATGGTGAGAGACCACTCAGTGACTCTCTGCAACTGCGTAACCATTTCTCCAGAGCTTGTGGGGGAAAGCTGCACCCGTTGGCCTCCGGGAATGTGGGCTGGAGGAGGGGAAGGAACCTCTTCAAGTTCTGAATGCCACACCTCTCCCCTCCTGATCCCTCTCCCAAGGCAGGAAAAGGACCAGGCTGCTCTGACAGGGCCATCTCCACCTTGCAGGTACATCGGGGCCCTGGGGGCCCGAGTGATCTGTGACAATATCCCTGGTCTGGTGAGCCGGCAGCGGCAGCTGTGCCAGCGGTACCCAGACATCATGCGCTCGGTGGGCGAGGGCGCCCGAGAATGGATCCGGGAGTGTCAGCACCAGTTCCGCCACCACCGCTGGAACTGCACCACGCTGGACCGGGACCACACTGTCTTTGGCCGCGTCATGCTCCGAAGTAGGGGCCTCTTCCACCCTGCCCCACCTGCTTCCCTTTCTGTGCCCAGGGTCAGGGGTGGGGGGTAGGCATGATCCTCCTCCCCTCTCCTCCACACCACCTCATCATCAGAGAGACGGTTGAGGGCAGAGCCCAGGAGATGGCTGGGAACCGACCCTCAGTACCTGAGAGATGTAGGCAGGGACCCCTCTAAATTCCAGGGTTCTGGGATGATGGCACAAAGGTACAGCGTTCCCTGGCACCTCCTTCTCCCTTCTTCCCTTTCCCTCCCATCCCCAAGTCCAGCCTGGATGTAGGGCTGAGGACTGGGAATGGCTGCTCTGTTCCTACTGCCACCATCACTACCCTCACCCCAACCCTCACCCCAACCCTCCCAACACTCCAGTAATGGCGGCAAGGGATAAACAGAAAGGTGATATGTAAATATTTGGAGAGTTGGCGGCTTGGCCCCAGCTCAGCAAAAAAGCTAAGCCGAGCTAGACAATAAACTAGGAGAAAGGGAACGAGATGGGAATCTGGCGGTGTCTGGGGGACAGGGGTGATGAGTCATCAATCGCCAAGAGCAGGATGGGAAGGAAGCAGGCCAGGGAAAGTAGCAGGTCTCCCCAGACAGGCTGACCCCTGGGCTGGGGTCTCTATTGTAGGGGAACTGTCCAGCAGAGTAGGCCTGAAAAGGCCTGGAATGGGGACTGAGGCAGGCTTAGCTGAGCCATCCCCTCTGTGGGAGAGGATGACTCACTGTGAAACGTTTCAATGGATGGACCCAGGGAGTTTGGAAGAAGGCAAGAGTACAGGTCAGCCCAAGAGGTCAGATGTACAAAGAAGCGCATAGAGAGTGGTGAGGGCCGAGGCGAAGAGGTCAGATACTCTGGGGAGTGCTCTTGGAAGGGAAGGGTGCCTTGAATAAAGGGGGTACAGGAGTTGCTCCGGGAAAGACAAGAAGAGAGGAGGTTGTAGAGTTGGGGGTTGCATGGGCTGAACAAGGGGACAGATGTGGGCGTCTCTGCTGAACCCTACTTCTCCCTTTGTCTCTGCAGGCAGCCGGGAGGCAGCGTTTGTATATGCCATCTCGTCAGCGGGGGTGGTCCATGCTATCACCCGTGCCTGTAGCCAGGGTGAACTGAGTGTGTGCAGCTGTGACCCCTACACCCGTGGCCGACACCATGACCAACGTGGGGATTTTGACTGGGGTGGCTGCAGTGACAACATCCACTACGGTGTTCGCTTTGCCAAGGCCTTTGTGGATGCCAAGGAAAAGAGGCTTAAGGATGCCCGGGCCCTCATGAACTTACATAACAACCGCTGCGGTCGCACGGTCAGTACTCATGTCGATGCACACAACGTTCATGTCTGCTGGGGGCGACCAGGGTGTGTGATCACGGACTGAATGCGAAGGTGGAAGCACTGAAGGTTTCTGGATCGCTTCCAAAGACCCCAACTCCCATGGCATTGGAGCAGTAAATGCAAGGGAGCTCGGGAATGCCTAGACTCAACCAGGTGCATAATGTGTCTTCACATAGGTGGAAAGAAGGGAAAGGTAGAGAAAAGAGGGGAAGAAGTTCCAGGAAGGATTCATGGAAGATGAGATTCTTGAATTTGGTCAGGAAGAATGGGTGGGATCTGATAGGGGGAGAGAACAGCCAAGGGCCCTTCTGTCCAGCCTAGGCCAGGTCTGGCAGATGTCAGAGCGCTCCTGCTTTTAGCCCCGGGGAGGACTAAAAAGTGCCCTGACTGGCTGCCTCTCCCTCACCTGCTTCCCCACCACCCAGGCCGTGCGGCGGTTTCTGAAGCTCGAGTGTAAGTGCCATGGCGTGAGCGGCTCCTGTACTCTGCGCACCTGCTGGCGTGCACTCTCAGACTTCCGCCGCACGGGCGATTACCTGCGGCGGCGCTATGATGGCGCCGTGCAGGTGACAGCAACCCAGGATGGCGCCAACTTCACAGCAGCCCGCCAAGGCTATCGCCGTGCCACTCGGACTGACCTCGTCTACTTTGATAACTCCCCAGACTACTGTGTCTTGGACAAGGCTGCAGGTGAGTAAGGAAAGCAGGTAGGGACATGGAGCCCCCAGCTCTTGGTGCAGGCAGCCCTGGTTAATCACGGTGTGGTCGGCCTCAGGAGTCAGGGAAGCGGTACTGTGGGAGGAGTCAGTCTCCTCCCGACATGAACACCTTATAATGAGATTGGTGGTGAATGCCTCAGTCCACCAGTCCCAGGGCTGCCCAAGCAGGGGAGAGGTCATCTGTCACTCCTTTCTATCCCCAGCATCTGGGGTGCAGTAGGTACTATGCAGGGAATGTTTAAATGAGTCACCTGTTTTCCATAGCAAGCAATGGGTGGGCTGAACAGAAGAACCATGTGATGGAGCCCTAAGTCTCTGGCTCTTTACAGCCTAGCTAAAGAAATGAGATGTAACAGGGAGACAAATGCAACTGCAAAAGACAGATGACTGGAGAAATCCAGAAAAGCTTATTTGAAAATGTGGAACTTAAGCTCTTTCTTGAAGTGTAGGGATTACCTGGACAGCCTAGAGAGAAGAACAGGCAGAGAAGCAGAGTGGCAAGTGGGAAAGTACACGATCATTCTAGGAACCGAGAACTCAGATTAATCTGACTCAGTGAAGGTTTGGGATGGGGAGACTAGAAGTAGATAGATGGGTTCGGATCAGACCATGAGTGGCCTTGAAAGGCTGTATCCAGTGTGCTGCCATTGAAGATTCAAAAATGGAATTGGGAAGGGGTGCCTGGGTGGCTCAGTCGTTAAGCGTCTGCCTTTGGCTCAGGTCATGGTCCCAGGGTCCTGGGATCGAGCCCCGCATCAGGCTCCCTGCTCAGCGGGAAGCCTGCTTTTCCCTCTCCCACCCCCTCTGCTTGTGTTCCCTCTCTCACTGTGTCTCTCTCTGTGAAATAAATAAAATTAAGAAAAAAAAAAAGAAATTTAGTTAATCTTCTAAAAAAAAAAAATGGAATTGGGGAAGCAAGAAAAGAGGAGATCCCAGCAGGACAAACCATTAGCAGAAAGCAGCAAACTGTTTTTCAATCCGTTCCAGATATTTACGGTGGAATTCTTGGGGATGCTGGAGGTTGATATGCTATTGCCCCCACAGAGTAGAAGTCACCATCTTGGCTCATATTTCAGGTTCAGACAGGTCAGACTAGGAACAACCTGCTGTGCAAAAGAACAGCTCTTCCCCTGGTCTGTCATGGGCTCCCAGGCTCTTGTCTGTAGACTTGGCACTCAGGCCTTGGGTGAGATAGAGCCAGAGACCTCAGCTGTCTTCAGTTCTGTTTGTTTTCACCCAACACGGTCATTCCTGGTGAGTCGAGTGGCTCAGAGCAAAACTGGGCACAGAAAGAGGGTGGGGCTTCACCCAAGTAACACAGAAAGTAGTTTGTGTCCTTTGGATGGTGCTAGGAGAAAAAGGGTGGAAAGAGCCCTTCCAATTCTCCCAGTGATGTCCTGCCACTAGGTATGTTTTCTTCCTACATGATGCAATTCAGAGGACTACTCTCTGAATGTCTTGAAATAACTCCATAACATCTGAGGTGTCAGCCTACGCTGCCATACCTAAAATGTACCTTTGGGGTAGGATCTTTGGAGTTAGAAGGGAGGATGGGTCATGTATGAGTTGGTTTTCCTCGGAGGCATAAAATTAAGTCTCATAAAACCCAAAGTGGGGTCTGGAATTCAAAGTGTATAAGTCATCCCACAAGGGAGTAAGGATCCAGAAATTCCCTCCAAAGCAGTACTGTCCAGTTGAACTTTCTGTAATGATAGAAATGTTCTACATCTGTGCCTTCCAATACGGTAGCCACTTAACCACATGGGATTACTGAGTATCTGAAATGTAGCTAGTGTGACTGAGAAACAAAGTTTTAAATTGTACTTAATTTTAGTTAATTTAAATCTAGATGATTACATGTGGCTAGTGGCTATTACACTGGACAGCTCAGCTCCAGTCTATAGAAGAGGCTTTGGGTGCACAAGAGAAGGACTTAAGCCCCAGCCCTTGGAGTTAGGACAGTAACAGAGAGAGTAGAACTAGTTAGGTCACAGGCCAGAGGAGTGGCCTCCTAACATTTTGGGTTGTATATTCCTGTCGTTAAAAAATTCTTGGGAGTATATACCTCCAAAATGTGGATATTTACTTATAACAGATATATTCCACTGTATTAATATGTACATTATAAAACAAAGTAGAGATTTTGCGTTTATGAGATAAAAAACAAATATAGAAGTTCTAAGTTCTAGCATTTTCTTTGCATATGGCAGTAGAATGTACAGCCTACTGTGAGAGAATCAGTCTGTTCCCCTTCTTCAGCCCCCAGGTCAGTTAATGTCCCATCTCTGGGGAAACACTAGGATAGATACTTTCTAGGGTCCATCCCATCCAAAATTCTATGATTTTATGATCCGTTGTCAGGATCTCTTCTGCTAAAATCAGTCAGAAGGAAGTCCTGAGCATTCTCTGTGCAGGGGGATAACATCATCCTTACCCTTCAAGAGTTCCTACTGTAAGGGGCAAGGGATATTCTGTAGGAATTCCATAGGGATATGCTTCTGGACAGTCATGCTAATCAGTTTGCCTCCTCAGTTGAACAGAGATTATAGACATAGTGTACAATCCACTGAGTTAGATGCTATTATTATGCCTATTTTCATAGGAGAAGACTGAAGTCCAGAGAGATTAACTACCTTGCGAAATCACATAGCTAGGATGTGGTGGAGCTGGAATTTAAACTTGGACAATCTGACAATAAGGCCTGTGCTTTTAATGGCCATACTATACTACTTCCCTGTATGGTACAACTTAATAAAATATCAACTAAGGACCAAAATACTAACAAATGGTAGATGGATCAGAGTTGTGGCAAGACTTCTTGGAAAAGATAAATTATAGGCTAAGTTTTTTTTTTGTTTTTTTTAACTTTTTAGTATGGACAACTTCAAACACAGAGAGCCCTTACCCAGCTTTAACAGTTGGGAGCATTTTAAGGCCAGGTCTTGAAAGAGACACGGAACCATGTATTGGCGGGGGGCTGGGGTTGTTGCAGGTGAAGTCAATGGTCTTTGGGGAGCCTTGATGGTGGGAAGAAGCCAGGCTGGTACAGAGGGAAGCAACGAGATGGTCATTTTGGCTAGTTGGGCATATTTTCAGGAAAAGGGATTCTTTATGGTTTCCTTGTGAGGATGTGGGTAAGGGAACCCAGAGCAGCTGAAGGAAGAGGTAGCTTGGTTCTCACTCTCTCTCTTCCCCAACCCAGGTTCCCTAGGCACTGCGGGCCGTGTCTGCAGCAAGACATCTAAAGGGACGGATGGTTGCGAAATCATGTGCTGTGGCCGAGGGTATGACACAACTCGAGTCACCCGTGTCACCCAGTGTGAGTGCAAATTCCACTGGTGCTGTGCAGTGCGATGCAAGGAGTGCAGAAACACTGTGGACGTCCACACTTGCAAGGCCCCCAAGAAGGCAGAGTGGCTGGACCAGACCTGAACATAGAAATACCTCACTCATCCCTCTACTTCAAACCTCCTGACTCAAAAGCACAAGATCTTTGCATGCACACCTTCCTCTACCCTCAACTCTGGGCTGCTACAGTTTCTATTTAAGGACTTGGGAGAGTAATCCAGAAGGACTCTGGTGTCCTTACTGGTTCCTTAGCCCTGGGAAGGAGTTGACAGGGGATCTAAGAAATTGAATGGCTCCCTGACTGCCCCCTCGGGAGGTTAGAAGGGAGAGTGGAAGAGGGAGGGGTCTTCAGAGTGATAGACGTTGCACTAAAGCACATGGTCAAGGCTCATCTTTCCTTTCCTTTGCACCGGCTTCCTAACACTTCTTGTGTGTGCAAGAGGAAGGGTACCTGGGGAGAGCTTCTTTGTGTTCCTGCCTGACTGAGGGGAGATGGGACAGAGATGAAACCACATCTCTTCCCTGGGTCAGTTTGAGCAGACTGCCTGGAACCCCAAAAGAAACTCTTAGGCTACAACCTTCTTCCATTATCAAGAGTCTGGGATTGCTAGATAAGAGTTAGCCATAGTGGACAAGGTTCCATTCACATGCTCATAGGTTTATAAACTGCTGTATTTTGTAGGGGAAAAAAATTATGTAACTATATAAACATACATTCTCGTCCAATCTCCTGCCTCTTTTCAACCTATATCAGACAGCATGTTGCTCACTCGCCTCTTACTCACTTGCTGCCTGTTCAAACCAAGTGGTATGTAGTGGTTCTTATGCCTAACAGATCACTAGAATACCCTGGAACACACCCGAGAAAGAGTGATTTAGTAAGCCTGCCTAGGCCTTGGGATTTGATTTTTTTTTTTTTTTTTAAGTTCCTATGCATTATTCTAGAGGTCAGCCAGGTTTGGGAAATACTCAGTAAAAGGTATGAGACTCATGGAGGGTGGGAGAGGGTAGCAGGTCTGATCTCAAGGGCCCCACATGAGGCATCAGTGTATACTAGGCAGGTATAGTAGGCAGGGATCTCTGGCTTGGGCAATTTTTAGGAGAGGATCCTGGTCTTCAAAGCTGGGAATGGAAGCCAGTGGCTACAGAGGGAAGGAGAGCTGGGGCTTGGGGCCAAAACGGTAAACAGCTCAGAAAGCAGCCTTTCCCCGTTTATTCAAGAATTTTTTTTTTTTTTTAGTGACTCTCCAAGTCCTGGTGATTATTACTCTTCACTCCATCTTTGGCTTAAATAGGGCAGTTCCTTCTTTGCTACTACCCGCTGCCTAACTAAGCTTGCAGTAGAGGAGTCTCCAGGGATGGTAGACTTAGTAAGCTAGAGGCTAGGACATGAAGTCCCCACAACCGTCCTGTCCTGTTTTTATGTGACTCGGACAATGGCTATCTCTTGTCTGGTGATACTGTAAAAGACCAAAGCGGCATAGAAATTCACAGTCATGACAGACCTGGGTTAAAATCACAGCTGTGCCATTTACTGTTTTTGATACTTTGAGCAAGATACCCACATTCTCTGAGCCTTTATCATCTCCTCTGTAAAGCGAGGTTACAAACCTATCTCAGATATTGAGTTTTAATTATGTCCCCCATTCCAGCCATCGGACGCTCTTACCAAAGTCCCTAACTGGTCTAGCCCATCATGATGTCTCTTAGAACCTTCCATTTAGAACTGTATTGACAGCAGGCTGTAGATTAAGGGGCCTACACAAGGAATTCTGAGTATAGGCACCCCCCCTCCTTTCCAAGTTCCTCTCCAACAACCCTTGGGGTCCTCACGTGTTTGTGGCGCAGCTTCACTCTGCACAGGCAGCAGAAGGATGGGGGAGCCAGAGCTCTGGGCCATGGGGGCAGATTTATTTGGATGATAGGACTAATATTTGTGTAACCTGCTGAGACCTGTGTGGGAGAGTTTAGGGTGGTTTTTCTTTTGGTGAGGGGTTTGCTCCGGTTTCACATCCATTAACACAAAACATGAGCTAGTCAGGGCCCTTGTGGTCTGCGGTAAGGGGATTCCTGTGGAGAAATGGGACTGAGTGAGTCAGGCCAGGGGAATGTCTTCCTTGCAGAGTGGATAACTGATGAGCCAATGGTGGGATTAGGGAGGGGGAAATGGGAGGGGAAGAGAAGAGCTTCTGACATCTTGAGCTGGGATTAGGAGGAAGCAAGCCTTGGAGTAGTGGAAAGGTAAGGGGGTCACAGTCAGTCTGAATCAAGACTAGAGCTGCAGGAATTGACATAAGGGTACTGTCTTTGGGTAGAGCCTTGGGTCCCAGTCTGCCCCTACTCACAAGAACGCCCAGGTTACCGCATAAAGGATAGCTAGGCCTTCCTGGGACTTCAACCCAAGTTCACTCTGCCTGTGCTCTGTCACCTATTCCTTTTCAGTTCTTACCCTGTGGAAGGAACTGAGCCTCTTCTGGCATCTCATACTGCTCTGTGCTTCTCCTGGGCTCCAAACTGTAGTTCGTTCCTATAAATGGTTAAGAGCAAGCTGGCCAGAAAGTGACGTGTATGAACAGTGGGGCGGACAGCGAGAGAAAAGAGGTCCATGTGAGCCCTACTGTTGAGGCTATGTGGTCCCAAGAAGAAATGATGGCCAAACAATTACTTTTTCCTCTTATTTCTTAGCTTGCCTCTGCGTTCTGATTGGCTTTGGACAACAGGCATCCATTCTGCAATAAACAAACAAATTTATGTGGAACAAGCAGCAAAAGGAGAACTGCATTTGGTGCAGTCAGGGCTCCATTTAGTTCTGCTGCCACCCACTCACTGCCTCTAACCGCCCCCCGCCACTCCTCCTCTGGTCAGTAGAGGTCTGTCCCTCTGGCAGCAGTCCCTTCGCCCCTCTCCTCTCTGACACTCCTTCGTGTCGGTCCTCCTCTCTTCTAACTTTCAATATTTAGTAGAATGCATTGCAGAAAGTGCCATTTGGATACAAAGTTAGCTTCAAAGACATGATCTCTATCCTTTAAAGGTCTTAGCCTCTTTTAGAGAAGGCACATGGTTGAAATACCTCGGCTGCAGAGCCCGTGGCCAGTTTCCCTCATGTACAAGTAAGAACGCCAGCCTGAACCTAGTCCTGCACGTAAGAGCCAACTTCTGTGATTGCTAGCCTTGAATAACAGCACTGACCCATATGCTTTCTTAGAATGATGCTGGAAAAATGAAATCAGGGACTCGGATTATTTAAAAAAATTAAACACTGCCTGGCCCTGAACGTCTGTTTGCAAAAAGTCTTGTAGGTCTGACTCGTGACCACTTACAGCCTCGTTTCTCTTCCTCCCTAATGCAGAGAGTGATTTCTTCTCCTTTTTCTCACCTCCCTTAGCAAGAACACCAACCACTAAGTCTTTTGCCAAATTCTCGGACCCACTCAGGACATTGGTGTCTACATGGCTTAATATAAGAGAGATAATGAGGATTTTTCTTTTCTCTTCAGCCTTTCTGAGGTTTTTAAACGCCGTCAGTGGTCATAGGGCAGAAGCCCAAGGGAGGCCACCAGGGAGAGTATGTTTCTCATCCCTGGGAGGCCGTCAGCCTAGCTCCTGCAGCCAAATTACAGCACCAGAGAATAATGTGATGCATTCCTGGGCAGGTCCGTGGGACCCTGGGCGCCTGGGCCTTGTGGAGAGAGGTGCCAGACACAGAGCTCTCCGTAAGCAATCCTGCAGAGCCGCCCCCTGGGTGCAGAAATGAAATACGGGAGAGCTTCACATTACACGGAGACCTGTAGCTCACACCTGGTTATTGATGGCCTTGGTGGAGGCCTCTGCCCCCACCCTCCACTTGGGAACTGCCTGCTACTACGGGGGTTGGGCACCTTTGAAGCAATGTGGGAAAACAAGAAAGAGATGCTTCCTTTCCACTCTTTGCTCCTCCTGTGAGCCTGCGCACAACGGGGAGGAAATGCACACACATGAGCTGCGCTTCTGTGGACATACACATAGCTTCTCCCAGGCTGCAGCAGAGTTCTAGTCCGCCTCCCTCTCCCCAACAATAAAACAAGCAACTGGATTTCAATCAAATCCTTCAAAAGTCATACCAACTTCAGGGATTCAGCCATCACCAAGGAACGTTAAAAAGTTCCATTATCAATACGCAAGCAGCTGTGCAGTTTGGGGACTGGTATTCCTCTGAGAAGTAGCAGTGAAAGGATGCAGAAAAGGCATGGAGAGGAGAGATCAACAGGAGACAATTGCCACCCAAGCAGAATGGCTAGGACTGTGGGACTTCTCGTGGCTGGTTCATGCTGGAGATAGTGCAATTTGTGCCCTGTGTGCTAAGGATGATGGGGCAGCCTCCTAGGACTGCACGAGGTACGATTACCAAGTCTGCGGCCCAAGACCTGTTGTTTTTGACTTTTATTCGGTTAGAAAACAGGATAGCTTTGGGTTCCAGAGATAATGTCCATAAGAGAGAGGTCCTGGAGAGGAGCAAGCAGTGACTTTTCTAGGGTAAATATGTCACAGCTGCTGCACTGAACTGAGCTTTCCTAGAAGCTGTTAATCTCTTTGGGTGACTGGCAGGTTTCAGGCAATAGCCAGTGGAGTGTCAGTAATATGCCTGTCCCTGACCGCGAAGGTCAAAGTGATAGAAGAGAGGGAGAGTTTTTAAGTACATTTTTCCACTTCTCATTCATGGCTTAACTTATCCCTGAGCATCTTTGGGGCTCTTCCTCATTTACTGAAGACATTTTAGTCATCCTGGAGTTTAGAAAGCAAGGGAAGCATTCTGCCCCTGACCCCTTAACTCTGAACTACCGTGTGCTCACTTCCGTTCTTGCCTATGACGCTATAGGTGGAGCAGCTAGACATAGACGTTCTCTTTCTTTGACCAAAAGGAGCTGAAATCTGGTGACTTTACTTCACCACCACCAGCCCCTGTACACAGGCCTGACCAAACAGAAAGGCTAAACTGAGTGAAGAAAAAGGGAAGACCAGGTAATCCACAGCTGTCCCATTGACAACTGTCTGGGTGGGGTTCCCGGAGAATAACTGTGATGTTCATGAGAAGCATTTTGAAGGACAAAATGCTTTAACATATACCTAATTTTCACACCGACCCTGTGAGGCAGGAGACATTCTCACTGCACAGGTGCTGTTCAGAAAGGCTCAGGGATCTGTCCGAGGTCATGTGATACGGAGTGGCACAGACAGAACTCAAGTCTGGGGTTTCTCACTTCAAACCCTGTGTGTTCTCCTCAAAGACTGAGACTACCTCAGGCTGGGAGGGCCAGAGTCCCAGCCCCTTCGGAACAGAAATGGATACAAAATATTCGAGGAGAGTATAGGTGAGCAGAATTTACAACAGGAACAGCCTACGCCTTCCTTCACCACATCAACGAATCCCCTGTCATTTTGGCCACTATTTCCACAGCCACAAAATGATCACTACACTTCGTAGTCTGCATTTAATCAACCCTGGCTCCTAGCACTTTCTATTCCTTTTTTTCTTCTTCAGATTAACACTTTAACCATTTGTTTTAATTTTATCTAGTTCTTTTAAAGTGATGCTAAGCGCAAAGACTGTAAGTAGTCCTGAGAAGCCATGAGCGGAAACTGTTAAGGCTTTGGGCTTCTAAAGTATGTATTAGAATTTCCTTTGAGATTTCACGCTTTAAAAAAAACAAAAAACAAAAAACAAAAAAAAACCGCTGTCAACTCCTGGGCTAGGAAGGTAAGAACAGGGAATGAGAGTGCTAAAAACCTGTCCTATCCCAGGCCAGATGCCTACTCAAGGCCTGGTAAAAGTCCTGGGACCTCTAGCTGAGACAAGTAATTTATCTACACCAAGGCAAGGAGAATCCACCCTACAGAGAAACCCCT